ATGATTTTTCAACTTCAATGGAATCGATCAGGTGTTGGACGATTTTAGCTGAGATTCAGTAGAAAATTGTTCTAAAATAGAGGAAATTTGGAGGAAATTGATGAAAAGTTGTACGAATATAATATGGAAAGATATGAAAATTGATGAATTTTTGCTAAAAACAAACTGTCATAAACATATTTAACGTGAAAATCGTCGTTCAATTCCTTGCTGCGTTTTCCGAATATTCTTTATGCTTGGTTGTTAGGGTGCTGCTCAATGTACAATACTTTGTAAACTTGATAGGTTGAATTATGACTTGTCTGGTTTCGTCTGGTCTAAAAAAAGCCATTTCTCTGTCTAAGTTAAAAAAAAGACACATTTTTTTCGAATTACAGTGAAATACCTATTCCAATATTTTGGATGCATTGCAATGGTCACCATGGTGATCAAAGAAATATTCAGCAACTTAGAGAGGCATAAGTATCGATCAAAATGAAAAATTCGATCTGAATATTTGCACATTTCCATACAATTCAAATTCAAGTAAAAACACACTCAAAAACTCATCACTCGTTCTCAATATTCTCAATAAAAATCGACCATTTCGGTTCAAGTCGAGGTGTCAAACGAGTCAACCTTTTGACAAAAGTGCAAGATTTGAAGTGTTGATGATCGATCACGTGCGAAAAAAAATCGGGATTGAAAAATTGAAATAAAATTGAAGCTGATGCGAAGTCGCCAATAGTAAAATTGTGTAACGAATTGGTCGAAAATCGGCGGATAAATCTCGGCATTACAATTAACTGTCTAAAAGTTTGAGCAATGTTTTGATTAATTAAGATTTGCTTAAGTGCCAAAAACTGACGTTGAGTTCGAAATAATATAATGAGCCGCCGCCAATCGAGATATCGAAAATAATTAGACGAATGGATATTTCGTTAGATCGACCCAAATGGAAAATGTTGAGGCTCAGTGGAAAGAGTGCTGCTGATGCCAGTCTCTCTCACGAAGCATTTTCGATGATTGAAAAATGATGTCATTGGCATTTTGAAACCGATTGTTCCAAATTCAATTCCACATTTTTTTCCAGTCGCAATGCACCAGCTTTCAATTGTATAACGAATTTCGAATGCTTCAAAAAAACAAGCTCGAAATTTTTTTTTTTTGAGAAAGTCGATTTTGAGATGGTATGAACTTTTCACCCATCGCAATTTTCCTGTAAACGTCGTTTCTCATCGGTGTAAACATTGAATGTGGTATGTGTCGCCAAGAACGATCATTCAATCAGTGATTTATCACCGCGCGATGGCCGACGGCTATCACAATCACTCGACGTAATAAATTGTTTTGTGGCATCAATGGCACGACTTGCAGCCGTACAACACACGAACCGACTCGCTCGACTGATAGAAAATGTCAATTATCGCTGCTGCTGCTGCTTTTGACGTCGTCATCGACGAGATAATAATGTGACGATAAACAATTGAAATTGACTACTCTTGGCTTTGTAGCTCTGAAGATTTATGGGAGGAAACGATTTATTTACGTCGAAATCCGTGTTTTGTTCGCTTGAATCGTGAATACAATCATCGCAGTCGCAGAATCGATGATCTCGCTTTTTATTTGCATTTGCAAACCGCAATCTCATTGATTGAAACCATAAATCTCACTTGCAATTTAATGCAAACAATCGTTTCATCGATGAAATTCCAATACGATCGACTCTATTCAATTTTGCATTGACAAAAACAAATTATCAAAAACCAATCATTGCTTTAGTTCGATTGGAGTTTGATTACTCGTTTTTTTCATTCTGTCAAGTCATCCTTCGATCCATCGAAAATGAAGATGATTTCACGTGATTCGTTTTTATTCTCCCAGCCAAATTGCGTTTAATCGCATTTAAATCGGTTTTGCGGCTCTTAATCTTTATGCAGCACAGCTATCAATGTCAGGCAGAGTACGTGTGGGTAATGGACTCACGTGACATTTATCGCCATTAAAACTGAACACGCTCTCTAAAGCAACGACGTCATTATTTGCATGGAAATCATCAAAAGGGCGATGTCTTCACACCCAATACATTTATTGATTGAGCCATTTGTTTGGCTTTTTAAAGCGTTCCATTCAGTTTAAGTGACATTTTTTCTGTGGCAATTTACGCTTTTGATATGTTTGGAAGGCACAATTTTAATAAAATTGATTATTCATGGATTCAGGCCTTCTTACACTTTTTCCAAAATTCTTCGACTTTTTTTTCCATAATTGGTTGTTGTCAAGGAGGTATTGATTTCAATGGAAGATTTATTCTTAACCGTAGGCTCAATAGTTTTCATTCCCAATAATATAATTGACGAAAACTTAGAAACAAATTCTTCGAACATTATCGATGATTTTTTTTCTTTAAACATCACCGATGAAATTAATGTCCAGCCGTTTGATTAATTCCATTGAAAATGTGCATTGCTGATGCTTTAATAGCAACGATAACTCCGTTCAAATCGTCTCAAAAACCACAATCGTTATTTTTTCTTATCTGAAATTTATTGCTTCATTCGTGTGAACGAAACTTAGGTTCTTCAAATGATTGTTTCCGATTTATTTCCATTTTAATGATATTCATTATCATCATCGTTCAGATTGAAACTTATAATTTCATGGTCATATTTTATGTCATTGTTGTTATTAAACCGACAAAAACGTTTTATCAACCGAAGTATACAGGTAAAATTCGCCGTAATTTTTTATTCGTGTAAATATGTGTTGAACTTGGACTTGATGGCGAAAATTTGTGGGTGAAATGTGTTCAATTGCGTCGGTTGTTCGCTGAGATCGATGTGGAAATGAATCATTTTCTTAAAAAAGTGTGTACACATTTAAGATACTTCATAGCTGTAATGCGCGCAGAGTTGTGTATGGAGAAGAAAAAAAATACTGCGTTTAATTCCATTTAAAATATACTTTATTCACACATTTACAAATGTGAAACGTTGGAATTGTCGACAAAAAACTAGTTGGATCTTTTTGTTGAGCATAGTGTATCGAAAAATTTTGGGAATCGATATAGCCTTTTACTTGATTTTGAATATAAATGCTTGGCACATGACATTGAAATGTAAAGCGAGAGAACGATTAATATTGTGCTGAGAATTCAATTGTTCGTTCAATCACGATGAGAGCTCGAGAAAAGAAATGAATGGTGAGATCTTTTTTTTTCGTCTCTTCATCGGTCGAATACTATCGAAATTAATCTGTCACACGGTGATCGCAATTATTTCATCATCATCATTTTGCGCCGCAAAATTTGCGTTCGAAAAAAAATTCATCAAACAAAAAAGTCCATCGTCTTCGAATTCAACGGTTCAAATTCAACCCTCGAAAGAAGTCATTGCTTGAAATTTGTTTAGGCAAAAAGAGTTCATCGCAATTGAATTTATCGCTAAAAAAAGGTCCATCGTTTGAAATTGCCAAATAATTTTATCGCAGTAAGAATCTGCATGTGTCCATGAATTACACGGTCGGCATCTATCGCGTTCGATTATTTGATATATTGATATAAAAAGAACCGTTAAATTAAATCGTTCGTCTGCTTAAACCGAACACAACATGAGCTCTTGGTACCTAGGTCGGAAATGGTCCAGAAACCGCATAAAAACCAAATCATTCTGCACTCGAAAAAAGCTGACACAATTTTCGAGCTTGTAAAGCGTTTACCTTTATACGATCTTGCACGTAGCATCAGATGTAATCAGTTTTTTCCGTACTCTTTTTGCTGTTTTCTTTTCCACTCGCGCTCTCCGCGTGTACGAATAATCGAATTTGTAATTGAAATGGGCGACCTTCAGCGTCATATGCTTCTCGTTCATGCTCTTCTCGCGCCACGTGTTCACTTTAATCGATGACCATAAATTATTGAGAGGCGCTTCACCGCGAACCGCGCGCAATTCACTCAATAACTCAATCGAAGTATGCGATTGAACCTTTGACGATCGACCAGTGACACTACAAATGTATTCGATTGTCTAAGCCGAATGTGTTTTTTTCACCCGACCAAACGTTATTTATTGACATTATCTCTTCCTTTCGCCGCATTCACAAACACAAAACAACAACAACAGACGATTGTTACGTGCTCTACCGTTTCCATTTTTTGTGTCGTTCGATATATTCGCTTCAACCGTTTTCTTCGGATAAATACGTTTTCATGCTAAAAATGCTGAATGCTTTTTTTTTCGTTGTAACATAATTTTGCTGTACGATCCGGCATTTTTCAAAAAGAGATAGTTTAACGAATGTGCTACAAGATCATTGCGTTTATGAGCAACGAATATGGGTTTTATGGCCTTTTCTTCACCCATGCTCAACACATCAGTGTGGACACTTTCATTTTTTAAATTACAATCCAAATCGATTTATTGCTACTTTTTCATATGGGACTCGGTTCACATTTTATTAACGTCGTTGAATGTGAAATATTTTAAATCTTGAATAATATTATCCATATTTCAGTGGAAATCCGATTTTTCGTACTTTTCAAAAAAAAAAAATTTAATTTAAAGACTCGTGCTTTTTTAATTTAAAGAAAAATCATTGAAAATTGCTAGAATTGAGGATTAATTCATTGTTTCTTTCAAGAAAAAACGACTATTCCATACGGAATTCCAGCCTAAAAGTCGAGTTAACGGATTCAATGACAGAACACTTGAAAATGGGCTATCGCTTCCCTTTTTGCTTTTTCTTTGGTCCATAGGGGTATTGCAACGACCATAAAATATATGTATTTCATCAAGTTTATCAAGCTCTTTCCAAGTTTATGCATAGTATTGAACTTTTGTTCAAGCTCTACCATCTAAATGTACAGTAAAATAATTTACGGGCACGACGTAAGATGGCGTTTTTTCTGGTCAAAAAAGTTGCAATATCCCTTTGCTTTGGTCCGAAAAAATGCTTAAAATTCGATCAATAATTCAATTAATTGCATAAATTTTTCTCATATTTTCCAACATTCTTTCTCGCAGCTTATGACTGAAACGTGATTTCTTGATGGTGAATCAAACGTAGATTGCGCGGTAACTGAGGACTGAAATTGGTGGGAATTTCGAAAACGCAAATTGAATTCATACAATTCAATTGGGAACTGATTGAATACCATTGTGAAAAATGAGTTCGACATCAATAAGTATGAGTCGGCTAGCGATTGGGCTGCAGCTTATGATCTTTACCTTCGTCGCTGGACAGAATGAACTTTTTAGTGTGAGTTTTTTTCGTGCTCTTTTTATTAAATAAATTTAACTTAATTGATCAGTTTTAGTTCAAATAAAAGTCGGCGAATCTGTTATTGAATGAGATTGTTATTGATCCCATTTATCAAAGAATGGATAAGCTGTCGAAACTCTTTTGAAAGTTAAAGGTTCGACAAGGATGATTGAAAGGCATCACAACTGTTTGATTTGACTTGTCTTAGAAAAAGAAAGATTCTGACACAATGGGCAAATATTGCAAGAACACGAAAGAACGAACGGAAACTACTTCAATGTGTCGAACATATTGTGTTGGGTTGATTTAACGCTGTCATTTTTTCCCCTCATTTGGAGTGAAATTCAGTGAATTATTGGAATATACTGTGTTTGATATAATGAAACAATTTGGAGGTATTTCATTTAAGAATAAACAAACTCAACAGAGTTAAGCTTACCTTGTCGTTAGAACCAATCGAATTACTGAACATCAAAATGTTCAAGAGTTGTCTGTACTACACAGACTTCATACATGCAATGCAACATTTTTGCCAATAAACTTGTGAGTTGTATGCGAAAGCGGCAAAAAGTCACATTTCTCCGCTGGAAAAAAAAAATCGATAAGAGGAATGTACGAACAAGAGACGGTCGGTTGTTCTGTTTAATGAAACCACCATCTGTTGTCAGTTTCCATGGCAACGCAGCAATTTGTTATTTTGAATATCAGCAGTTTTTCTGCGTCACAACTCGTGTCAAGAAAAAGCATTTTAGTCGTGTGGGCAAAAGTGAGGCCAATTCATAAGCAAAACTGCTGAAAAACTCTAATAAAATAAAGAAAAATAGAAGGAAATAAAGAGAAAGAGATAAAAAAAAAGAATCAGAAAATAAATTACATAAAATAAATAGAAAAAAAGCTAGAAAAAGGAAATAAGAAAGAAAATGAGTAAAAAACCTTCTGAGCGAAGAGAGCGCACAAAAATGCCATCATCATCGAAGCTAAAAGAGAGTCGAGCCTACGTGAAACAATTGGAATACGAGATTGAGCGCCTCGAATCGATGCAGCCGGACGCTTTGAATGCAGTACGATTTCACAGGTTTGTTCCGTGACCAAGCGCATTCTATACGTGTGTTGTGTGCAAGCTCGGGGTCAATTGGACGGAGCGAGCGCGCGTTCGCGCTCAATCGAGTGTTTCACATAAATTATTAGCTCGTGCTTTATTTATTTGAGTCGTGCATTTCAATTCTTTACTTCCTTGTTCGGATCGATCGTCGACAATAACAAATGGCGCAAAAAACGACACATCCAATAGACACCACACACAACATAATTTCACAAAGCACGCAAACATTTCTTATTCGCTTGCGATGAAATGGCCGATTTTTATCGATGCAATTGTTTTCTTTCTTCTACTCTTTTCGATAGAATCTTTGGATCGTATTTTCCATGGCCGATTATGTACATTCGCAGTGAACGCGACATCGCTAATATCATCGAAAAAATGATACCGCATCCATTAAACGAACGAGAAAAGACACGACTTCGACGACTCATCGGCTGAAGAGCAGCATTGTTTTTTGAATGTTGACGATTTTGGATGATTTTCAATGATTGTTTCGGAAAAATGTGTTACATAAGACAGAGTTTTCCTTTAAATTTTCATGAAATAGTTCAATTTCCGCTGTTTTTCTTCGTCATTTGTTTAACTTGTTAATTTTCAAACTAATTTTCTCGTTATTTTTTTCATATTTTTCAATTTGGACCAAAGTTACAATGATTTTCCAGAAATACCATTAAATTTATAGGGAAGAATTGCTCTTCAACAAAAAAAAGAATGTAAAACAAGCGAATAATATGATTGTTCTGCCTAAAATCATGTGTTTTTTTTCGCTATAAGCGATGACGAAAACATTGCTGGTTCAAAATGTCTCTCGTTGGTATTTAATTTTAAAATCCATATTCAAAGCTAAGTGTTAGCTCTGTCTGATTCGATAAGCACATTTAATAGCGACATTTTTTCCTTCGTTGTTTATTTTCATTTGGCTTCATTGTTCAACGACATTCGATTATTCAACAGCTCACGGCCTCCCAAGAACTGCATGAATACCACTCATTTATTGAACGTCAGCGCAAAAAAAAACGTACCATCATCTAAATGCTCGGCAAAAAATTGCCCAATTAATCGCCTTATTTATGATGGTTCCCATTTAAATTAAGCGCAATTAATTTCGATTGAATTGCTTGGCCATAGCCAAGCTTACGCTTTGATTGATGTTTGAGTTGCGTCTTCGGTTTTCTTTTTGTGTCTGACACCTGATGAATTCCACGAACTGCAACAATACAACTTCGGCAGTAGACAATGAAACAAGATCGAAACCTTTGAGAGATGAACACCGAGAGAATTGATGTCAGTAGAACGGCCTCCCCATTTTTGGACGCAAACTCAGCTGGTATTGTTCAAGTACAACATTCAATGCATATTCATATAAATCATAACAATGGAGTCAACGCCGAAAGAATTATGATGAATTTCATACTCAAATACACACAGAAAATGCCGTGCACTTTTTGCCGCCGACGATGCGACTCAATCATTCATCATATCCATCGGAAGGTTTAATAAATTGAAAGAAAAAATCGAATGATCGAGATTAGAGATATCGAAAAACAGAGATTCAATTTAGAAGATCGAAATATTTAGATTGCAGATTACAAATTGTTAATGAATTTCCATTTATGCAAATTGAAGAACAATACTGGACGATTGAAATAAAGCAGGCTGCTTATTCATTGAAGCATTGCTTCAAGCAGCTCACTGAAATTAAGATTACCACCTAATTTATGCAAATAAACTTCTTATGATCGGAAAGTACTATAATTTTTGATGAGGAACTTCTTTTAGGTGCTTTCTGAAACGAATAACGAACAAAATTTCTTATGATTATTTTTTTGCTTCAAACGGATCAAAAAAAAAACTTTTTTGTTGTTTAAATTGGTCCACAAAAATTGAAATACGCTTAAAAAGTTGCTCAATGTAGTTTAAAAAAAGGATAAAACAAAGTTAAAACTCCTCAAATGAAACTCACATCATGGCTATCGACGAAATTTGTCTGGAAATGTGATTTCAAAGCATATAAATCATAACATATGTGGTAGGTCGATGGAATAACCGTCGACTAACGGCATTTAGAGTTGAAAATAAGCTGATTTCGATAGAGAATGTGTATTTTGACGGGATTTTTCTGTTTAAACTTCGGAGTAACCGATCAATTTTTGGGTTCGGCTTTGATTTTTTTGCTGTATTCGTTTTCATTTTTGATTTGTCTCTATGTTTGTTTTTGTTTTAATTCCATTCCGAATTATTTTGTCTCACCTTTTCTCGCAAGAAAACCTATTCTTTCAATATTTTGTTCACGTTCTTTCTCGTTCTCTCTTTCATTTGCTACTTAATCTCATTTTGTTTGTTTGCTTATGGATATTTTTCTCGCTGCTAAGCGCATACAAAACGGTATGTGGTGAGCAGGTGCTGTGTGCGCGCGATCGTATTTGGTAATGTGAATATGAATGGAAAGATGCGCTCAATAGATTCATTTTTTCGCAATATATCGACAGAATCGCGTATCTTCCCGTCGCGCAGTGACCCTGATTGTGTCGTTTACGAATGCAGTTCGCAAGAGCGGTGTGTGAGTGTGTTGAGGGTGAGGCAAAAGAGCATTTCACGACATTGAAGCGTTAGATTGGTTCGTTGCAGCGGATGCTCGAATCAGTTCCATTCCAATAGTATCGTCTTACGAATTGGTAAATGATATTGACTGTCGCTGCCGCTGCTGTCGTCGTCAAAAGAATCTCCTCCAAGTTTAATATTGTTACAATTGGCGTTAATGAAGCCAAATACGATGGCGGCAGCGAATTGCGAAAGCCGTTGCCATATTCCAGTGTATGAAAATCGGATTTAGCAAACGGTTTCTTTTTATCTCTTCTAAGTTTTGTGCATAAATTATTTTGTTTGCTGTTTTTTTTCTTTCGTGTCGATGTGGGCGGTGATAAAAGTAGCTGGTGATTGTTCGGTGTACCGTTCTGAGTATACTGTTTGGCGAGAACAGCCATAGTCTGCGTTAGAAAGGAAAGAATGAAGATTTGCCGCTTCAGAACATGCGATTACCACAGTATGGTTTAATGTGTTTACATGTTTCATGTCGGATTAATTGATGCTAATAAATTCCAGCGAACTTTGCGAGGCGGGTGGCTACAATCGGCTCTCTCAATACACTGAAGTCATGTAATTAATTTTTTCGCTTTATTAACTATAAATTTTTCCCGTTTGCTTGAAGAAAAAGAGAGGAAAAATTCTGAACATTCTCTTTAGAACGTTGCTAACTCCTCCGGATCTGAAGTGTAATTATGAACGGTGTTATTAATGAGTCGCAATACCATGAAGATGCCCGCAACACATCGGATCTGGCGACAGACCCAAAATAGGAATGGCACACGCATCAACTATTTCAAGTGCGATTTTTGTAGGCGACACCGCAAAATCTTCGGCGTGTTTTTCATTTTGGTTTTTGTCTTTTGTCTTGAACACACCAAGTGCTTGAATACCAATGGGATTTATGTTTATTTTGACTTTTGCAAATGAAACATACACGCTTTGCGGTTCAAAACAACCATTTTTCTTATTAGATTATGTGCAAATCACGATGATTACTCATTCGAAGCTTCAAATACACATGAAACGAATCATTCGCCCACACGAAATACACGCATGAATCAACCGACTTCAAATGGTTCTTATCGACAAATCGCATCGAGTGAGCGGCAATCGCGACTCACGCATTGCGGCTTTGGCTCCATAAGAAGTATTATTTGGAACGAGCTTAACAGCGGAACCGATTAGATTTTTTTCTTTTTTAAATTTAAAACGATTTGAATTTTGCCGATTTGCAAACTTTGTGCTCAATTCTAGTTGTTATCCATTTCCAACAAAACGAAACATTCGCGGTGAACAGCACCGATCAGGAGTTCATAAGTCGATAAGCTTATAAAAATAGGAATATTATTCAAATTAGCTTTGCGTATTATACAATTATTACATAGAACATTTGAAAGTCTGAAGAGTTTATGGGTAGAGAGAATCAATTTAGATGAGCTTCGGCGACGAAATGATTCAATTTCCAATTTTGAAACGATGATTATGAAATTCAATCAATTCTTTGACCTTGATATTGCAAAGGATGGAATGCAGAATGACACTCGCTCTCTGAAATTCAGACGCTGAATTTTATCTATCGTATTTTTTGGAACCACAGAAAAATAATTTATTGTATTTGACTACTTTTATTAGAACTTAGAACTTGGAGGTAGATTAAAATTGACAAAAAACAAAAACGTAATCGTGGATCATCATAGACTCTCTTTGTCTCGCCATATTGATTCATTTATCTTCAAATTTTGTTCGAATTTCGTGCAAATCTGATGTATAAATTTCATCCAATGCAAATTGATGCGTAGTTGACATGTCCATAATTTCAGTTAATGGAGGTTTTTCGGTGCCTTCTTTTTGCTCCCACTTTTGGTAAATTCTTAAGATTGGAGTGAATTATTTAACCATTTAATCAGACTTCAAACGAATTGATTCAGTAATCAGAATTTGATGGAGTACCAAAAAATATGCAAATTCCAAAGTGTTGAAAGTCTTAATTCAATTTCGCTATTTTCTTTCGCTTATTTTCGTGGTTTTTGAGCTTTGCTTTCTTCTGATTTTATTTTTTTATCTTTCATTCTCGTGGAATACGAATTTCTTGTCAAAATGTTTTAGTTCTTCACTTCAACTCAATTAACTGATTTGCGAAGCAATTTTTCTGATCTAAATGTGTTATGGTATGATCATATGGATGCAACTAACGGAATTCAGAATGTGGCTGCTGCGTTTTTTATTCACAAAATATAGAAAAGGTAACTAAACCTTAGCTATTCTAGTTGAACCGATAAAAAAGTGAAAAAATCGTTGATAAGTTCAAATTTATGGAATAAGATTTACAGAATCGCCGATCCGATAATATATCAACGTGTTTTACTATGCATATTTTGTTGTCTTATACCGGCTTTGAAGTAGCTCGAAATTTCATGAAAATCTGTTTGAAACCGATTCAAGTGAATATAAACGAAATTCTACGCTATTGAGAAGAAAAATTCCAAACAAAATCCTGTCAAAGACTGATCTGAAGATATATACTGAGCAAACTTAAAAAGCTGATAAAATGAGACGTTTCGATTTTTTGACTCGCTTTTTTTCTTTGTTGTGATCTACACAAATTTATGACGAAAAGTGAATTTGAGATATATTTTGAAATGCTTTTCATGAAGTCGTTTGTCAAAAAATCATTTTCTCACTTAAATTTGTATGGACAGAAAGTCACAGAACAAAAACGTCTCAATCTCAGCTTGCTGATTGTCTGTGCCCAACTAATATCCTATAATCTGCTATTAACTGAAAATATCTCTGTTCCAACCTCTTCACTTCACTTCAAATGCAGGTGTTGAAACAAAAGTGAAAACATGAATTCCAAAGTGTGCCATCGCCAAAGCGAATAATTAACGAATGATGTTCAAAATTTTCTGCATAGCATCGAAGAACTTAGGCCGAACGAGAAAACAAAATCAAAGCATTTAAATCTAAGAAACTCGGTGCATAAAAACGGTGCTACAAATGGCTGCGAAAACCAAAACATCAGTTGAAAAGTTCCGTAATCTCGCTGGCAATACCGTAAATTAAGTCATGAAGCGATAAAGATGTGTGTTTTCTCGGTGTTTGTAGTGTTAGATTAATGTGTCAGTCTCGTGCCGACGACACTTTTAATGGTGAAGACGATGTGTCACTTTTGACGGGATTTCAATTGTAATATGATGTCACTTGACGTAATAGTACCATAAATATATTCCGACACAGCGCAATGGTTGTTCTTGCAAATGGCTCGCCCATTTTCTTCAGGCGAAGCAGTGAACAGATTCATCGGCATAGTATGTGTTTGGAATTCCGACAACCAAAAGCAAAAACAAAGCAAACATTGCTTTGTTTTACTAATTTAAAATTCTCATCAAAGTCATTCTTCTTTTTCGCCGCACCAGACAGTTTCCAGTGTGACGATTAGTATATGTCATTTGTAGGCCATTCGTTCAATGTTTCTTCTTTCAAACGATGTGTACTTTGAGATAGAAATCTTTTTTGTTGTTAAATTCGTCGAAATACAACGTTTCAGCGGTAAAACAGAAAACAATTTCTTTCAATTGGCCCATAAATTAGTCCGACATCATCATTTCGGTGTGTCAGCAGTCAACAAAAGTTCACATGAATTGTTTTTTTTTATTTCAGCCAGCGAATGGGAATTTGGTTTGATTCGGTAGCTGCGGGCTTTGTTTTGTTTACGATGCGATACAAGGATTTTTTGCGATGAATTTTTTTCTCGTTTTTTTCTCTTTCGTTGTCTTCAGCAATTTTGTTGTCGTTTCTATTAAAAATACATGAATCTTCGATGATATTTGCATAGAGCCGTTTGTAATAGAAAAAAAAAATCGCCGTTGGCTGAAAATTATTCGAGGTGGAATCATTAAATTGTGAATTATCGTGTAATCAACACTTGTCTTAAATAGTTCAAAGTTGATCGATTTTTCCATTGATGTCCATTGAAAAAGGGAAATTCTGTTTGACCTTTGGAAGGGTCGGCGTTTTTTTTTTCTTGCATCATGACCCAGAAACTGAAATGAATTCGATTCAATTCAAGTTTTTGGATGTTAAATTTTAGAAACAGTTTGATTGATCACCTGCCACATTTTGAGGTGGTTCAATTGATTTTCAATGAACGAAAGCAACCGACAAATGAAGTTGCGATGAATGAAGCAGCATCACGAAAGTGGCACACTCAGTCGCTCACACAATAGCCGTGATAGCGCAACTCTCTCTCTCTCGCGGTAAAAATGGAACAAAAGGCTGAATTGGTGCACATTTCATTATGTATTTTGATGACGATGATGAAATGGCGTTTAAATGGCACGAGATAAATACAAAAAGGCAACTCTTTCGCTTGTTAGGCTGTCTCTTATCTCATTGCATCATCTTCCAGCGAATGCAATCTAATGAACTACATGTGCTCTACAGGCATTTCACATGCACTCTCGGCTTCTTTGCTATTTTGCATTTTTCTTTTCGCGACGTCAACGATGAATTGCGTGTGTGTGTTGCTCTTTTCGCTCTGTTCGTTATGAACCGTGTTACACTTGGCAGACGATTTCAACAAAACATTTAATGGTATTTTTATTGAATATTCCATTTGCATATGATGCACAAGTCAATGCTCGTTTAGACAATGTCTTCGTCATTTTGGAATTTAATTAAAGGTTTCAACGAATTTAAAGTTTCATGTTTTTCTTTTCCTTCGTTACAGAATCCAAGCCAAATACCAAAGACAAACTTCCATTGCAAGGGACGCCCGGCTGGATACTATGCAGATGTTGAAGCAGGTGAATATGCAAATTATTGACTTGATTTTTGAGCTACATCGCATATTGAGCTCATACTGAGCTAATTTTTTTTTGAAAATTGATGCTTTGCAATAGAAATCAAGAGTTGAATTTTTAAGCATTTTATAGCAGACGTTCATTGTAACGTTCACTCATTCTAATTCCTCTGACGATTCGATTGATGATTCGTTTTATGTTCCATTGACAGCACGTTCAAAACCTAACTATTTCAAAGCAACTTCTGTTTTTTAAGCACATCGTTCTATATTTCATTCGATTTGTTTTGCATATTTTTAAGTGAATTTCATTCACATTTTTCAGTGCAAAACTTGCGATTTACCTCAAAATATGTTTAGAAACTTTGCAATTGAAATAAACGTCGGTTCGAAAACATGCTAAACCAAATCTCATTTGCAAATTCAAATTCTAATTTCAAAAATATGCACAAATCATGACAGACAAAATTCGTATTCATGCAAAAAGTCAACTGAACTCATTCGGATTCACTTATTATTTTGTTTGTCTATTCAACCATTTTTCTTCTTCCATCAACTTTTTCTCATTCTCCCATGATGCTAAATGGCTCTTTATGGAATCGGCGACAGGTTGTCAGGTAACATAAAACATTGAACATCCATAAAAATGTCTCATAATTCACAAAGCGATTTGGCATTTTCATCATTAGGTTTATCACATGTGCGATGGTTTGGGACGCCAATTTAGCTACAGTTGCCCCAACACAACATTATTTCAACAGAGAATGCTCATCTGCGATCACTGGTATATGGTGAATTGCTCGAAAGCCGAAAGTGATTACGATGCTAATTTATTGATCGGTAAGAGTTTTTTTTTTCGTGATTGACTTTAGCAAAATAAAAAATGATTCGAAATAAAGACAGCAGAGAGTTGAGAGGAGAGTGTTTCTTGGATTGGAAATAAATTCGATTTTAAACGAGCCAAAAATCACATATCAAAATAAACGTATGTTTGAATCAATGATTTTTGAATCAAAATTGATATGGGAAAAAAACAAATGAAAATGTTAATAATGGAGTAAATAGAGGTTGAAGTTCATTCGGAAGAAAAATAAATCCAGTTTGATTCGGCATCGAGTTCCATTTTTACGTTAAAATTCATTAGCGGGAATTTTGCTTTATTTCTAATGAAATTGTCTGATTTGCTTTTATTCAATCTTCAGGTCAACGAGACAAGCCATTTGTTCGCGATGACGAGTACGATGTTCGTACGCCAAGACCGGATTTGTTTGACAAGCAATACGCGCCCGATTTTGCTGGTGAAACATTTAGAAAGGTAATTTTGACACTGCTTAGCTTTTTTTCATACTTGAAATCATTTTGTTTGATTTCAAATAGAAATGGATTTGATTTAAGGAAGGAAAGTTTTTGAAAAACACAAATATAGAAATATTGAGAGCAAAATGAGTGAAAAAACAAAAATTTTGAGAAAAAAATAACGTGAAAATTGTGTCGTTCCATTTCAGACGATATCTCCACTGTTGAACTCAATTCATAGCTTTGACAAGCACTCGTCAGTTCTGCACAAGGCAGCTTCATCTCCCGCTGCGTCGAGTCGTTGGAACACGGTTCAACCTCCAATTCAAACGACTCCTTTCCCATCAACGACACCACGTTCGAATTTCCAGTCGTTCAATCAATTCCAGAACGGTCAGCCGACATTCTCCAGCGGCAGTGATCTAAAAACATCATCAAGTCAAGATAGTCGTCGCACGCAAAACGAAAATGTATTCGAAACAGATGAAAAACCGGTCCAAAAAACGACGCCAAAACCATTGATAATTGAATTCCAGCCACCGTTTTTGCATCCAATTTTCAATTATAGCGATACAGTGTCGACAACAACAACAAAAAGTACTCCACAATTCGTGCGGCCAATACCAACCACCTCAATTCCACCGTTCATTCAAACAACGGTGAATTCGATTCCCGAAACGCGTCCACCAGTTTCAAACGAGGATCGATTCCGGCCACGGCCAAGTTCAGTGGCAAGCTCTGGCGTTAGTAATTTCGGTGATCGTTTGCGAACTTCATCAACACCGACGCCCACAACGCCCACACCAACACCAAATTTTGTGCCAGTCTTGGCCGAAGAAGGGAAAATAAAAGAACCGCCGACGGTTCTGTTGCCACCGTATGAAACGTTGAACTTGTTTGGCAGTGCATCAACACAAGGGCCGCCAATTTATCGCGAATGGAAATTGCCTGCCAGCAATCTGGAGCCACCGTACGATGAGAATAAAAGTAATGGTGCCATTACAATCTCAAGCGATGAAAATCAAATACCCGTAATTCCACCGCATACGACGATATCAGCCGTCGGTCCATCATTTGTGAACAATGATTTAGTGCCGCCGCTGTTTGAATCGTTCAACAATGTGAAATTGCCGTCAATTTCATTGCAACCGCCAGCCTATTCACCGCTGCCTATGTTCAATGACACTGTACCATCGGCCACAAATCATTCATTCCCATCGTTTAGTGCACTGAATGTCAATTCATTCACCCATAGCAACGACAAATCACAAACACAACGCTCCGTTTCATCAACACCGACGGCTGCCAACAGCATTTCAACGAAACGAAACAGTGAAACAAGCACATTCAATTATGTGGAGTTGAAAAAGAAATTTTCCGTGCCCGAATTTACGTTCCCATTGGAAAATGTCGAGCGACCGAGTTACACCGAAACCAATGCCGTCAATTCATTCCAAATCAAAATTCCTGACGAAGTATCACAGAGTCAGGAGCAACTGGTCAGCGACGGTAGTTCGAATGAAGTGCAACGAAAGCCATGGTATGGCGAAAATGCCAAATGCCCCGAATGTCATCCATCATTTCTAAAGCCTGGCACATGCGAACCATGCATCAAAATTCGATAGATTACCAATTGCCTTACACTCAGTGCATACTAGTTTTTAGTGATCGTTTTTAATTGCATAATTTAAAAAAATATATAACAGAATTGTTCCGTAGGCGCCAAATTCACTCTCCTGCTTTCCACTGTGGATTATTATCATTATGATTAAAACACATTTCAATTTAGCTTACTTTTTATTTTGTAACATTATCTTTCGTCATGTTTATTTACATTTTTCTCTCGCCAGAAAAATATCTCTCGCTTTAATTCACCGAACAGAAAAAGAAAAATTGCGCGCGATTCATTTTTTTTTGTATTGTGTAAATAGCCCTTTATGAAATGAATATATATGATATTACGATTAGTGCCTCTGAATTAGACGATAAGACGAGAAAAATCATTAAACTTTAGCTTACTCTATATATAAATCCAAAATGAAATAAATTAAAGAATTGATCTAACAAAAAAAAAAAACACATAATGTTAACGACATTTTTACTCTTTGTTTTTCGTGCTTCATACTTAATGGATGGTCAACACGGAACTTTCACTTTCGCTTCACTTTCAATTGGAACCAATTTGGTTGAACTTTGTTTTTTTTTTTTCCTCATTCGAAGCTATCGATCGATTTTCGCTCATTTACGTGATTTGGATCATTTTCACTGGTGATTGTATGGCGGTATAAAGTCACGCTGCATCGGTATATGATGATGATGATGATGATGCGACGTTGATGGCGGGTAAGCTAGCTCATTTGCACGATTCGGCTCGTTTGGCGGCGTTCCAGCCAAAATTTCCGTCATAAAACCAATATAGGTGATTGCCAAGCGTAATGTTTCGATTCGAGATAAACGTTTCTCATAAGCGAAAGTTGGCACCTATGGAAAAATTGGAAATATTTCTTCGATTAATTTTTTTTTTGGAAATATCAAGTTATTTTCACTAATGAACTATTGGAAAATCTTGGATTTTGATTGAGAAGTTTGAATTATTTTCGTACTTTTGAACGGATGTCTTGCATTTGTTAATCATGAGGATTTGAAATCTTGAGCTGATTTCGTCTGAAAATAAGTGACTACATGGTGGAATATATAAAATATTACAAAATCTGTTGACTCTTGCCAAGTAAAACAAAAACGTTGACGAAACACAAACAAAAAATATTCTTGCATCGGCCGGGAATCGAACCCGGGTCGCCCGCGTGGCAGGCGAGCATTCTACCACTGAACCACCGATGCTTGTGAATAACGAAGCTGCGACTAAAAGTTGCTTGCGATGATCACATTTTTGTGGAAAAATTGACACGCTTTCAGTTATCAATATATTTGGCCTAATTGACATCAGAAACTAAGTAAATCTTTCTTGCTTTGATTTGGTGGCTGGTTATTATCAATTTGTTTCATTTTACCTAATTTTCTTGTACTATGCCTATATTTTCTGAGACAAAATTTTACTCTTTGTCAATCACAGTTTCAATTATCAAATTCCAAATGATGTAACCTTTGATATTTGACCCATTTTGAAGAAACGTACGTTTCTACTAACTGGCATCAAAAAAGAATTAACAAGAATCATTCATTGATTTGAACATATTTGTGTCATATATCTACTGTTAAAATGAAGCAAATCCATGGCATGAGTGGAAAACGCCTGAAGGTTGTCAATTTATTGTGTCGGCGATCATTCAAATGAGGATCTCATTAATAAAGACATTGGATGAGGTTGGATATTCTTATTATTTACGAAAATCGATGCAACACAAAACCACTTTTATCGAATATAAATATGCATTCTTGCAGCCGATTATTTGTCCTCACCGAATGAACTTCAAGTGAGTTTTCCAAAATAATTGAAATTCAAAGTGAAAAAAACGAAATGGTAAAAGATCTCTTTGTCTTTAAATTTAAAGAGTGGTTATAATTTAAATTATAGGTCGAAGACGTATAGCTGACAAAAATTGCCATTTTTGCATTTAGTGGGAATGAAACCGAAAAATATTATAAGCTTCATCAATTTCGATTGGAATTTTTCGAACGAAAATAGGTGAAATATAGTTTTACAGTTAATCCGACTATATCTTGTCTGTGTCAAAAGAATTGATTCATTGAAATGAAATTTCATTCAACGCGCTATTTATATAACTCGGCCTGACCATTGACACTATTTAGACTAGCGATCCAAAAGAATCGTCGTGATCATTTTAATCGATAAAGATGCCATTCAATGAATCACCGACATTGATCGTTTGGTCTATCACAAGCATCGGTGGTTCAGTGGTAGAATGCTCGCCTGCCACGCGGGCGACCCGGGTTCGATTCCCGGCCGATGCAATTCTTTTTTTTGCCATTTAATTGATTCTCATCAAAACATTGTTATATATTATGTTAAAGCAATTGTTCAGCATTTTCGATAGTTTGAATGGAAAAAATTAAAATTTCATCATTTTTAATGAAATATTAAGATATTCCAAATAAAACGACTAAATTGCGCACTTCATAAAAAATACCAATCGAAATGACCGATATATAATTTATTCGAATAATATTGCGAAGATCGACAAGAAAGCTGAATAAAGAAGGTTGCGAAAAATGAACGAATGAACAGATTTTAATGAAGAAAAACAAAAATAAGACACAATCAAATAACGAAACGTGGAATCGTCTGAATCTGTTTCTATATATTCATTATGATATTGACTGTTTCCAAGTGTGATTAAGCTATAAATAGAAATGTTCTGTCGAAAAATCAAAAAAATAAATGCATCGGCCGGGAATCGAACCCGGGTCGCCCGCGTGGCAGGCGAGCATTCTACCACTGAACCACCGATGCTTGTGATTAAAGAAGTCTCTGGTATAACCAGAGATTGATAGACAGCTCAATGATAATGAACACATGGAGATTTCGTTGCGAAAAATTATCAATCTTCGAGCAAATAACATTTGGTTCGTTTGTCATATCACTTGCACAGCAAAGCATTCCCCAGTGTTATTGTTGTTGTTTTTATGTGGCCACGTCGTCGTTGATAGCGAGCACGAGTAAAAGTAGCAAATAGGCATCTTCGATTTGCCGAATTCTTTTACATCTGAAGATTTTTCCCATACCGAGAACATGACGTATTTGAAACGTCTAACTCCATCTACGGATTTTTCCAGCAGTTGTGTTCTATTGAGTTGCGGTTTCAACTATTTTTGGACGAAATTATCTCAAAAGTATGCTAAAATGAGTTATTTGTCATGCGAACGCTCAAACGACTATTGTTAATGTACGCACTGATTCAGTAGACATGCAATGGTTACTAGATGACAAATACACTCGAGTGCGTGTATTTGCGCGTACATTTCCGGTAGCCGTTTGAGCGTTCGCATAACAAATAACTCATTTTTGTATATTTTCGAGATAATTTCGCCCAAAAATAGTTGAAATCGTTACATGTCTACTCGATTCACAACTACTGGAAAAATCCGTAGATGGAGTTAGACGCCCGTACCAAATATAATCTATTGAAACTCCATATACATGCTCGGAGTATGATTTTTCCCTAGGAACATTGATCTTCTTCAGACATTTCTTTATATGCATCTGCATGAAACCAGTTCAATTAGTTAAAGATGGACCAACTTTTGAGTAATTAGTGTCAAGTAAAATCGAATTGGACTGGCTCTTTTAAAGTAGAACAAAAATATGAAAATCTAGGCGAATAGATCAAAAAATATATTTGCATCGGCCGGGAATCGAACCCGGGTCGCCCGCGTGGCAGGCGAGCATTCTACCACTGAACCACCGATGCTTGTGAGTGAAGAAGTCTCTGTGGTAACCAGAGATTGATAGACAGCTCAATGATAATGAACACATGGAGATTTCGTTGAAAAAATTTGTCAGATTTTTGATTATTTACATAGTGTTGTTTCTCAGTGACGATGTTGTTGTTGTTTTTTGATGTTGCTAAGCATCATTCGTAACTAACACGAGTAACAGTGACACAAATATGTATACATATCTATAAGCTGAATTGGTATACATTTGTAACTATTTTTCCTATCTTTCAACTGTTTCTGAATTGAATTTATAATTGAAGTGCTTGTAATTGAACGATCATTGTAAATTGAAACCAAAATAGAACAAATGCTTAGACAATGAAAAATTGCAAGTTAAACCAGAATGAAAATAGAAAAATCTAGGCAAAAAAATCAAGAAATATTCGTATGGATTGTTGGCTAGAATAAGATTGGATTTGGAAACTGAAAATAAAATTGTTTCAAGCACTCACCTTTCGTCGCAGTTTATCAAATGCTTCGTTCAAATTGAACATTCTTCTACGTTCACGAATGTTAGCTGCGCGTCTCTGAGCCATTGATGCGACTCGTCGTCTGGTTTTCTTGTTTGGTACACTCGCATTTCCATTGGTATTTGTTGCGGTCAATGCACCACGAGGAGACAGACGCTGCGATACTAATCCACCGATTTGTGAACGCGGCCAAAGAGCTACAATTGATTGAATTTTTTTAATTTTTCTGATTCATTTGATAATTTCAAATCAGTTTCATTTGTTGGACTAATTTGAAAACATTGGAAAAACTACTTTAAAGTCTTGAGATTTTAACATCTGAATAAAGAGCACACTATACTGATTGGTGGAGTAAAACTGAAAAAAATGAACAAAAAGAAGCACAAAAAAAAACTTCAACTTACAACAGAAAAGGAAAGTGAAAAATAAAGAAAAAACGAAAAAATAACCCAAAAAAATCATCGCACCTAAATCAGAGCATGGAAATCCCATTAATTCTGGATAAGAAACCATTGGCGGTGGCTGTTCTTGGTTCCAAATCGAAGGTGTGAATGGCGGAGGCACTACGTCTGACATGTAAGATGGTCCGTCGGGATGTTGCTACATTAAAATAAAGTAGAAGAATTGAGCAAATGTGATATAAAGACCAAAATTAATTTGAAAGTTTAATATGTATAGTTATTTCTTATGTGAATGGCGAGATTTATCAATGCTATTAGCGCTAGCTCAATGGCGATTCCTTTTTTTTCGATTGGTTTAATAGTTCAATTCGAAAAGAAATTGTGTTCAAATGTTGTATTTCATCGTGTAATTCAATATTCAGCATAAGATACAAAACTCACCGGAGCAGATTTACTCAAATCCCAATGTTCATTGTTAAATGTGGACATTTTCTGAATATATCTTTGTTGATTTCAACGCGTCCACACCAAATAAATGCTATTATTTAAACTCTTTCTTTAGTAAATAATGAAGTTTTGCAATTATTTCAATTTGCTATAAATTGATGTGGATATTTGCCGAGATATTCTTGTTTTCAATCAACACTCATCGAAATTGTTCGACTTTCAGATGAAAAAGTTTTTTTTTTTAATTCAACTCAAATTTTCTTTCACAAAAACCTCTTTCCGACCACTTTTCCTTTTTCTTTATATTTTCTATATATATTTGTTTAATTTGGTAAGTAAGTTCGTTATTTTAATTGTTCTTCGCTTCACTTTCAATGGCTTTTCATCTATTTTGAATCAAATTTTGGATACTGCTGCTCAATTTATCCACTTTTCCACTAATTCCTTCACAAAATTTCTTTTTCAAACAAAAATATTTTTTCTTCACAAAATTTTCATCATTAAAATCGAAAACAACAATTATTTTTTGACTATGGCTCGAATTCACAGAAAAAAATCCTCCTAATCTCTTAATTCAACCGAAAATGTGCTGATTCAAGGTCTTCAGTGGTATTTCGGCATCGACACCACACGATCTGATATGAAACTGTGATAGTGACCAAAAAATCTGTTTTGAAACTGCGTTCGGAATTATGAATTGATATTTCATCCCCGTCAACAGACGGATGGTGATAGCAGCCATATTGTGTGTTCTTCCTTTGATGGTGTGCATTTTTGCTCTTGTTTTCCTTGCGTTGTGTCTGTGATTTTCCTTGCCTCAGATGCTGTCTGTCGCAGCTGCACCAAACTACCTCGCTTGTCATTGGTTGAATGTGTTGCCTGCGGGGCGGAGCTAAAACACACGTTCCGAAGGGATGACAACGATTCGTTCCAATGTGATTCTGTAGCAAATTCAGTGTTTGGGGTGAAACAACTGCAAATTATTTCATTAGAAAGATAATGAGCGCAATGTTTTTTTATTCTTTTGAACAGAAAAATATGTGTTTGATGCCGGAAACAAATTTGACCTAGTAAATAAATGTTCACTATTTCACTCGAAAGAACGATAATCTTATTATTCAAATGGAGATAAATGTAAGAATTCAAGTGTTTTTCATTTGATTTCTGTTCTTTCGAAGTAGATTGTGCCTTGGAATAATTTTAGAAGTAGAAATCGTGTGTAAAATCGATGATGCATCGATAAAAATGCAACTTGAATGATGAAAATTGTATTGAACGGATTGTTTTACACTTGAAAATAAACATTTTTTTCGTCTAATTCTTCTCGTAAGATTGAAAGTCTTTCAACTAACTGAACATTTCACCCGAAATCAAACGAATATTTCATATGCGTTAATCCGATTCAATTCAAACTACCAAAATCATCTCCTAATACGGCAGAAAATTCTTTGTTTGGCTCTAAAAAACCCTTTATTTTGACTTACTCTAAAGCCACAACCAAAAAAAAACTGGAACAAGTGAAATTTTTTATGCTTAAACCAGTTTAAACTGTTACCTTCATCAGACCAAGTTTCTTTTTTTGTTGAGTCCGAAAATCATGTGTGGAGAATCAATTATGCCGTCAACATTTATTTGCACTTTAAACGATAACTAAAGTGATTCTAAGCGGTTTCGCTTTATTACACTCGCAATAACACTCACCCTCTTCTTTTGACTCGAATCCAGTTTGTCAGCGGTGAACTCGCCCAAGCTAATGTGTTCGCTAAACGCTCAGTCACTGCTCAATTTATGCTGTCGCGTCACACATAACAAGGGTGCTAAATACAGTCGCATTCGAATAGGGTAACAAATATGACGAACGATTATAATTTCAAATTGGATTAATATTAATAATAAACAGAATTTATTGAAGTTGAACAGATTGTTTCGGTGCATGAAAATTGACATTGCCGTAACAATATCTAGAGCCGATTTTAATAAACGAAGTCAAAATGTACGACAAATTTACTGTGGAATACAAAAGGGGATTATTTTGTGATTAAAATTGTATCAAGTGTAACTTGTACGATTGAAATTTATTCTGATTTATACTCAAATGCACTTGCAATATTCGAGCTGGCGAACACACTTCGGTACATTCTACTCAGTAGGATGACAACGATTTTTTTTCGGATGGAATCGAACAAGATTTAAAAACTGAACGAGTGAGTTGCTGAAACAAGTGAACAAAATGTTGCAGTTTTTGTTGCAAAATCGGTGGAGATGAAAGAAAATCAGCTCTTTATATTGTTGCTTTTTGTTGGCTTTTGTTACGCTTGCTCTTTTTGTATCCTCTATTCATGCTGGATTTTCATTTCCTTGTTCATGCTGGATTTTCGTTCTGTTCGTTTGAGATTTGTAATACACCCCATTTTCAAGAGTGGAATAACAAATTAAGTCAGATAATTCCCGGAAATTTGTTTATTTTTGACGTTTGACTTAATATTTTGTCCGCTCTCGCTTCGAACCATATTGGCTTCTTTGCATCAGTTTTTCTGTTCTCTGCCATAGCATTTCATTTCTCCGCATCGTTCTACGTTTCAACCACTGACGCAGATCCCCTTTATTGAAAGCAAACCACCGTCAAATAGGAAAAATATGTCAAAAGTGGAATAAATTGAGATGGTTTAATATATTTTATGCAATCATAATTACCTTTCGCCAAGCCTTATTACGTTCGCATTGTTATGAGTTTGTGTCATCCCAATTCGAATTAGAATTCTTTATTAAAAATTGTGGCTCTGTGAACCATGACAAATCCATTTAGTTCCATTTTTCATGGAATGGATTCACTTATTTGTCACTCCAATTTCATTCTATAGAAGGATCTATTACCGAAACAATGATGTATTGGGTGAAAGCTAAAGTCTATGGACAATGTATTGACTAGTGTATAAGTTGAGAATGAATTTAACTTTATTTGCCAAACTCTATATATTAATCTGCTCGATAGAGTGCATTATATTAAAAGAACAACTCCATTCGGTATCAGGCTGTCGGTGCAACGTTGCAACAAGAAAAATACCTTCAAAACATTTGAGAAAATATTCGAAACATGCTTTGGCTCAAACCAAAGAAACACAAAACGAATTTATCTACTACGATCGACAAAAAAAAATTTATTTTAATGTAAATATGTAAAGTTCAAGTTGGAGGCATATTTACTACAAACCATAGTGAGCTATAACGAATGTGTGTCTGTGTTAGTCAAAGAGTAAAAGTATGGCATTGCACACAGTGTCCAGGTGACGCTCTTTTTGCCAAATCAGTACTGGGTTCTTCGTACCCTGTATGTTTCATATGGCGTTTGTATCAACATTAGAGACTAAAACAAAACTCATTCATCATGATGATATGAAAATATGCATATTTTACAGCCATTAAATTGATTGGACAAGTGTGTCCATAATGAGAGAGGTAAAAAGAGAAATGAGCCTGAAAATTGACAAAGGAATTCATCAAAAAAAAAAACTATGCTTGGAGTTTGAAGAGTGATTTATGTATCAAATGCTTAATCCGTTCATTCAAATTCTTTTCGTATGAAACAACTAATCCCTGTTTTAGTCAAGATAGCGATCATGATTACCATAACTTTTGGTTCATTGCGCTTGTGTCGCTCGTGCTCCTCGTTTATTATGTATCGTGTACTTAGTGGCGCCTAATTGCGCTGATTACTCTCATCAAATGTATCAATTCAATGTACCGAAACCGAAGAATATTGTCTCTGCGTGATTCCGTATTTGTGCGTTTTCATTCAATTTTATTCGAAATATCTAAAACGCGCTCCATTTGGTTTGTTAAATGACTTTTGATTTAGTATAAAAAGACAGGTGAATCTGAGGCACAACCATCAGTTCTCAAAGTTCTTTTGAAACAATCAGTTTGAAGAAAAGAAAAACCAGTACTAATCATGATGAAAATCGTTGTAATCTTTGCACTTTTGTTGGTTGTAACTGCTGTCCAAATCCAAGGCTGTTCTTCTGTTCCAGTTGCTGGATTGGCTAGTGCAGTGGTTGAAGCAGCTAGTGGAGTGGTTAGTACAGTGTCTAGAGTAGCTACTGGATTTATTGGCAAACTCCAAAATGCCGCAAGAAATATTGGGCAATCCACATCAAAAGTGGTGCAAACCGCAGCAGAAATGGTGCCAATAAACAGAGAAGGTGATATTGCGTTTGGAAGAAGAAGATCTTAAACATTTTATCAAGATCGGTTATGAATTATACAACAGAATTATGTTAGTTTTATTCATTTGAATAATAAATTGTCAATCTGTGCAACCAAGCAGTTCAAAAGTTATCTTTTATTCCATAGAGTTTTTCATTTTTCAGAACGATAAAAACGAATAAGTATTTGGGAAACGAATTCATTATACGGTTCATCAAAAGTTACAAAACGCTAAGAAAATTGTGCAGTTATCAAAGATAACGAGAATATGCTTCTTGGGCGATTACAAAATAAATAGATTGTTACTGAACACAAATGGCAATTATGCCTTGAAATGAAGAATCTGATATAAAATTGTGTCGAAATTAATTATTGAATATGAACCATTGCGACAAATAAATTCCCTCAGAATATTTTAGTTTCAAAGTGCAACATGAAATTTGTTTTATACAAAGTTGTTGTACTCCATATGAAAAAAACTTTAAAAATACATTGGAAAATGAAAAAAAAAAAAAAATTTGTGTGTAATTATCATTATTTTTAAGCACCAATTAAACTGATTTCAATATTTGAAGAACTTTTTTCGTGTGACACACCATAAATATAATGAAAATCAACTTTCGTTGAAATCTCTCGTCGATTTCATGTTGTTCTGTGTCATTTCCGTTCAGTTAAATGACAAACAATTGTTTGGCCAATTGAAATCACAAGTGGCTGCTTATCAAATGAGCTATTTTTGTAACTCAAAGAATTTCCTTTTGATACAGAATCAAAAAACAAAACAAAACAAACATGAATTGGATTTCTCAATCTGGAATAGAACAAAGTGTTGATACATGGAATTTATATTCGTAAATGTTATGCTTCGGATATGCATATCAGGCTGTTGTTCCGATAAAATTATTTATAACTCATAGTGAAACGATGTTAAAAACATTGCTTTGATCACATGAGCTGTGAAAAAAACCACAGATTAAAAGGAAATTTAACTGTAGAGATGAGATATTGTCGTATAAATTCAGTTAAACTTGAATCTTCAATGAATTTAAATGCTCAAATTAAAAATTGCTTGCTCGTTTGTTTCACACTGATCGTTTTCAATATTGCCCCATTAATGATGGGCCATTAATCTAATGAGGTGAGATTATGATAAAAAAAAAAACTAAACTGTAAATCATTGTTTTGATTTTAATATTAAAAATAATTGTAGCTTGATTTCGATTAACTAATTTTAAAAGGATAAATAAAGAAGAAGGAAAAAGAGGAAACATTTTGGTGAATGGAAACAAAATGAGATCGACTTCGATTCCTCTAATTTTAGCCGTTATTTGGATTGGATGTGATTGTGCCAAAAATGCCATCAATTCGTGTATTTATTCTTCGGGCAAGAATGTTGTGACTTTCATTTGTTCAGATTACAAAAATGAGCGGCTTTTCCATGCCAGTACCACACATCGTTGTGATGAAGGAGACGTTGATTTGGAGTTCAACAAAGCGAACATCAAAACAGTTGACTTTCACAATTGTGAATTACAGCATATACCCAGAGAATTGTATGAGGAATACGGCGGGATTCAAGTGTTAAACATATCCCATTTAGGATTGAAGTGGTTGTACCTGGAAGAAGCTCGCAGATTGGTCAAACTGTTTGCATCACACAACAAGTTGAGAATGATTCCAGAACATTTAGGTGGAATCAAAGTGATTGATCTGTCGCATAATGAAATCGATGACAACGCTTCGGATATTTCTGAATTTTCTCGCAAAAATTTATTCCTAGAGAGTAACAAAGTTTTTCAACTGAATTTGTCGTATAATCAATTTAGTAAATTGAGCGCTGGAATATTTGGAAAATTCAAGAATTTACGCCATTTAAATATGTCACACAATCGCATCACGAAAATTGAGCCGAAGACGTTGATGCATCAAACGAAATTGGAATCACTAGTGCTGTCGTACAATTTGTTGATTACAATAAGCAATAATATTTTTCCATTCCAATCGAAACACCTGAAATCGCTATTCATTGAAGGCAATAATCTACTGCAAACGATGAGCGGCTTTACACCATCGAACTATCCCAATTTGGTGATTATCAATACGAAGAAGATTAAGGTAGATCAATCAAAAAATATTTCCAATAAAGTGATGATCGTGAAGCACTAAAAATAATTTCTGATGTTATCGATTCTGTAAATGTTCATAAGTTGTCTTTGATTTGAGTAAAAGCTGAATTGATTCAACCGAATCGACAAACTGATGTTTTTATTTTCTATGGAATAAACGAATGACTGAACAAAATGTTCTGTTTTAATAAGTATCACACTCCGTTAGATGGCGGCAAAACAATCACATAGAATGCAACTTCCAGTTTGAATGATGGAATGACTGGAATTGACCTTTGACAACTGTCGTTAAGGATAATCAGTCACAAGTCACATTGTTTCAACGAAATTTGTTTTAGATACACTCGATCGGCTGCTCGATCATCGTTTGGTATTCGTTTAATGTAGCAAAAAGTCTTTTGAACATTTATTGTAATTTAAAATAAATAAAAGTGAAAATTTAAGGAATATTGTATCAAATTTTCATTTTATAATTCCAACACTCCGAAACAAAAGCAACGTTCAATATAAAAAAGGAATCAGCAACGATGAGTGGAAACTCATTTGTGTATGAAAACACTTATGTGAGAAAAATCCGCGGTTTGTACTTGGATTCGAAAACGTCCGATGTGAACTTTGTATTTGATGTCGATACCGATCATTCAGAGAAGGTTCCGGCACATAAGGCTATTCTATCGCTTGATAATCCAGTGTTCGATGCGATGTTCTACGGTCCGGTAAAGGAAGGAAGCGATATCCCGATTGCAGATGCTTGTGCCGCCGCATTCAAAGAGTTTCTTCAATTTTTCTACTTGGATGAGGTGCGACTATCAGCCGAGCATATCGTGCAAGTGATCAATCTATGCAAAAAGTACGAAATGGACGAGTGCATGAAGCCATGTAGAACAACACTGCAAAAATCATTGACCATTGATGATATGTGCGCTGGCTATAGCATCGCTTTGGTTCTTGAGCAGAAGGAACTGGTCGAATTTTGTGAGGATAAAATAAAAGCAAATGCACAAGGAATAATGGCATCAGAGAGTTTTCTTGAGGCTGGGCGAAATTTGCTGGAGAAAATATTGACTCTGGTATCATTCAGTTGGAGCGCCTTGGAGAAAATCATGGCATGCATGGAATGGGCCAAAGCCGAATGCAGTCGAAGCAACTTGGAGACGAGCCCAGGGAATTTAAGAACACAGCTCGGTGGACTATACAATCGAATCCCATTTGAAAAACTCACCTTGGATCAATTTTCGCAGTACATTGCTGCATACGATGGATTTTTCAATGCCGAAGAAATTGTTGCGATGAATAATAGAATCCAACTTCAGAATCAACTATCACAATCCAAAATCCGTCAATATTATTTAAAGCGCACAAATAACGTTGAGTTAAGCGGAATAGAAAATCACAAACAAGCGCTATTAGAAGCAAAGAGATTGAAACATGCAGCAGACGCTGAAACGGATGATTTGTTACAAGCTAGTTTGTATACAGAAGCAATTGTATATTATCTGATGACCGGTATCGCAATGGAGCGAGATGCAGTCACGAAAGAGTCAGCGTTTGCGATGTACAGAGACACTCTTAGTTTTGCAAAATACATGGCTAAGAAATATCAAAGTCAGCAACAACAATTTTCACGTCAAGGGAACATTCACAGTAAATTGGCAATTCTAAATTTAAGATGTCAATCGTTAACCTATTTAAAATTGTTCAAATTAAAGAGAAGTCTACTTGAGCTTGGGCTTGAGATCTCGGAATTTGACGAATGCCAAAAAATTATATTAGTATATTTATCGACAAGTCATAAGCTATGGGAATTGGCTGATATGACAGTTATCAATGGAAATCATGCAGATTTCTTCATTGGACTTGATCTTGAACATGGACCAATTACACTGCACTGCTCACTCAGCGAACTGGTCAAATATGTTCAAGACGGTATACAAAAACTCAAACAAATGCGAGTCGACGATTGACTTTAATTTGTAGCAACTGTAATGTTTTCAATTTCATTATTTCACTGCTATGAAACATAAGAAGAAAAGTGAACCAACACTTTACACAAAGGATAGAACCAATGGAATTTATAATAATATTTACTGATTATTATTTTTACTTTCACACTTATTAAACACAAAAATTAAGGAGAACATAATTATCTATTGAATCTACCTCTTATAATCTCAAATCAATTATAAAAATAATTTATTTGAAATGTAATCCATGACAAAGAGCATTCAATAATATCCCCACTTTTTGGATTTTTCTTCATTTATTTTTGTTTATTAAGCTAAAATCGAGTGAAAACTTATTTTCATACTGAGATACACTTTGTTTAGCTCAAAGAACCTTATATTCAAAATGCATAACCGATCGCGTCTAAATATGATCCATTTTTTTCTTCAAACGATATGTCTTAAACCGAATTTCTTCTTGAAACCGTTCAAGTCGTCTAGTTATAATCTGGAAAGTGGCTTAACACCATCGAACTATCCCAATTTGGTGATTATGAGTACGAAGAAGATTAAGGTAGATCAATCAAAAAATATTTCCGATAAAGTGATGATCGTGAAGCACTAAAAATAATTTCTGATGCTATCGATTCTGTAAATGTTCATAAGTTGTTTTTGATTTGAGTAAAAGGTGAATTGATTCAACCGAATCGACAAACTGATGCTTTTATTTTCTATGGAATAAACGAATGACTGAACAAAATGTTCTACCGTCAAATGCACTTTTTAATAAGTAACACACTCCGTTAGATGGCGGCAAAACAACCACATAGAATGCAACTTCCAGTTTGAATGATGGAATGACTGGAATTGACCTTTGACAACTGTCGTTAAGGATAATCAGTCACAAGTCACATTGTTTCAACGAAATTTGTTTTAGATACACTCGATCGGCTGCTCGATCATCGTTTGTTATTCATTTAATGTAGCAAAAAGTCTTGTGAACATTTATTGTAATTTAAAATAAATAAAAGTGAAAATTTAAGGAATATTGTGCCAAATCTTCATTTATCCGTCGATATTAGAATAATTTATTAGAAACGTCGGTGTTTCAAACACAATTCCAACACTCCGAAACAAAAGCAACATTCAATATAAAAAAGGAATCAGCAACGATGAGTGGAAGATCATTTGTGTATGAAAACACTTATGTGAGAAAAATCCGCGGTTTGTACTTTGATTCGAGAACGTCCGATGTGAACTTTGTATTTGATGTCGATACCGATCATCCAGAGAAGGTTCCGGCACATAAGGCTATTCTATCGCTTCATAATGCCGCGTTCGATGCGATGTTCTACGGTCCAGTGAAGGAAGGAAGTGATATCCCTATTTCAGATGCTTGTGCCGCCGCATTCAAAGAGTTTCTTCAATTTTTCTACTTAGATGAGGTGCGACTATCAACCGAGCATATCGTGCAAGTGATCAATCTATGCAAAAAGTACGAAATGGATGAGTGCATGGAGGCATGTGAAACAACACTGCAAAAATCATTGATCATTGATGATATGTGCTCTGGCTATAGCATCGCTTTGGTTCTTGAGCAAAAGAATTTGACCGAGTTTTGTGAGGATAAAATAAAAACGAATGCACAAGAAATAATAAAATCAAAGAGTTTTCTTGAGGCTGGACGCACGTTGTTGGAGAAAATATTGACTCTGGTATCATCGAGTTGGCACGCTTCGGAAACGGTCATGGCATGTATGGAATGGGCTAAGGCCGAATGCAGTCGAAATAACTTGGAGACGAGCCCAGAGAATTTAAGAACTCAGCTGGGTGAGATATGCAATCGAATTCCATTTGAAAAACTCACATTGGATCAATTTTCGCAGCACGCTGCCGCATACGATGGATTTTTCAATGCCGAAGAAATTGTAGCGATGAATAATAGAATCCAACTTCATTCCAGAGTTTATTATTCGTATTTCGAGCGCACAAACGACGATGAATTAATAGAAATGCAAGGTTATCGTCAAACGTTATCAGAAGCAAGGAGGCTGAAACATGCAGCAGACGCTGTAAAAAGTGGTTTGTCTCATGCTATTTTACATACAGAAGCAGCTATACATTTTCTGATGACCGGTATCGCAATGGAGCGAGATGCAATTACGAAAAAGAAAACATTTAAGATGTACAATAACAGTAAGATGTACTTGAAGTACATGGCTCAGAAATATCAAAATCAGCAATTACGACTTACACGTAAAGGGAACATTCACAGTAAATTGTCAATTCTGAATTTGAGATGCCAATCGTTATTAAACTTGAAATTCTACAAATTGAAGAAATACGAGGTCGAGCTGTCAGAAATTAACGAACACCCAGAAACGTTATCTGCATATTTATCAGAAAGTCATGAGCTATGGGACTTGGCCGATTCGACAGTTATCAATGGAAACTATAAGGATTTCTTTATTGCACTTGATCATGAACATGGACCAATTACACTGCACAGCTCACTCAGCGAACTGGTCAAATATGTTCAAGACGGTATACAGAAACTAAAATAGATGTGAGTCAACGATCTACTTTCGTTATACCATTGCAGAAGGTGTACTCCGTGAATGGTGAAAACAACATTTTCCTCTTTCATTCGAAAATTAGATTGCATTTTGCTACAATTGTGAATCAATTATGAAAAATAGCTTAAATATAATAAAATTAATGACAAAAAGCATTCAATAAAGATTCCTGATTAATTTCTCTTCGAGATTTTCATTTTAGTAAAAACTGGAAACATTTCTTTATTTTCCCTTGTTTGTTCTTCATTCCAGTCAAAAATTAAGTGTAAAATTATTTATTTTTGTACTGAAACACACACTTCGATCAGTTCTAAACACCTTTTATTCATATGACAAATGCGGATACATTTGAATTTATTTTCATAAACAAATTGCAACTAAAAATAAACAATTGAACATTCCAGAAAAACGATTTAGATTCAAAACAATTTCATTGTACGTGACTGTTGATGAATCATCCAAAACCCTCAACAGATTCCGTCTATTGTTCGAAAGATGACGCTGTGAGTCGGTTATTGGAACCAACGTATCAAATACACGTACAGTTTCAAATTGTGATACGTTGAATTTGGCGCGTTTTTTTATTATCATTGTGTATCTCATAGCGTATAGAGCAGTAAATGACGACCAGCTGTGGCAATTGCGTTCGTTGAATTTGGTTTCGTAAGCAGAGAATAATACGGTATCCGCATTGGAATCAAAACAAAGTGAAACGAACACGAAGTATGATGTGATGTGACGCATGCGACGCAAGCGCTTGGTGTAAAAATTAAGGTGAACGCGGTTTGCGTTCATTAAAATTGTTCTCTAGCACGAGCTAACCGTGGCGTGTGTGTGTGTGATTGTAATAAGGTCGCGATTGTTCATAAATGCGTAGCAGCAGCACACACAACACAGCGAATGAGAAAAAA